GGGGGGGGGGGATCGAACTTGGTAAGGGAGAAGGGAGGGGTTTTGGGATTTCTAGGTTAAGAGAAGGAGGGGGTCGGGGTTAGATAAATTAGCGGGGGGAGGGGGGCTGGGAATTGTTAAAAAAAATGACTAAGGGAAAAGAAGAAAAATAAAAATAAAAAGTAAAATAAATAATTAAACACCCTACCAACATCGCCCAGTGCGCGGTCGGTGATGCGATCAGTGCGCGGCCGTGCATCTGTGGCAAATAATTCTAAAAATGTGCGGCCATATGCGCTGTCGCGCACGTTGAATGTTTTTTCCAGCTGCCCCCTTATTTTATTTTATTTTTATTTTTTATACAATATTACAATGGTTGCCTCCATGAAGCGCCTGGTTTAACATCGCGGCATAACACAGGTCATCGCATTTAAAGCTCGCTCAACATTGGTGGCTCGAGCAAATGAGTCACCGACACTACTTTTGCATCATCCATACCCACATAATGTTTTAACTTGTGCCCATTGACTCTGAACGCGCGACAATCATTTTCTGCAGTAATCTCTACGGCACCAGTGGGGTGAATCTCTATCACACGAAATGGTCCTGACTATCTTGACTTTAATTTGCCCGAAAATAGCCTCAATCTTGAATTGTAAAGCAATACCATATCTCCGGGTGTAAAACTTTTCTCAAGGATATTTTTGTCATGCATCATCTTCATTCTCTCTTTGTATAGTTTTGTGTTCTTAAAAGTGTGGTAGCGAAACTCATCAAGCTCGTGTAACTCTGTGACTCTACTTGTACTGGCAACTTTTATATCAAGATTCAGCTGCCTCAATGCCCACAAAGCTCTATGCTCTAACTCCACTGGTAAGTGACACGCCTTCCCAAACACCAATTTATACGGTGACATGCCGATTGGAGTTTTGAAAGCAGTACGATAGGCTCAGAGTGCATCATCTAACTTTCTCGCCCAAGCAGTTCTTGTAGCATTCACAGTCTTTGTCAAAATGCTCTTTATCTCTTTGTTCGAAACTTCCACTTGCCCACTCAATTGTGGATGATATGGGATAGCAACCTTGTGGCGTACATCATACTTTTCTAATAACTTTGTGAAGGCTCGATTACAGAAGTGAGTGCCTCCATCACTAATTATTGCTCTTGGAGTGCCAAATCGTGTGTATATATTCTTTCTAAAAAAAACAATTACCCTCTTTGCATCATTTATAGGGAGTGCTGCAGCCTCCACCCATTTAGAGTAGTCCACAACTATGAGTATGTACTTGTTTCCATATGAGCTGACAAAAGGCCCCATGAAATTGATTCCTCATACATCAAACACTTCTACCTCCTGAATTGGGTTCATAGGCATCTCATGTCGGCGGGAAATATTCCCGTTTCATTGGCATTCATCACAACCCTTCACCCATAAGTGCGCATCTTTGAACAATGTCGCCCAGTAGAAGCCCGACTCCAACACTTAGCTGCTGTCCTTACTCCCCCAAAATGGCCACCATATGGTGACGCGTGACATGCCTGCAAAATAGAAGATTGGTCTATCTCAGAGATACATCTCCGGATCATGTTATCAACACAAATCCTAAACAGATAAGACTCATCCCAATAATACATGCGACAATCACGAAAGAAATTTTTCTTTTGGACAGAGGAAATGTCATAAAGAACAATATTGCTCGCCAGATAGTTTGTAATATTTGCATACCATGGCGCTACCTCAAAACTCGTGGCTAATAGTTGTACATCCGGGAAAGTCTCCACAATCTCTTACACCTCAATCTTCTTCTCGGCTCCTTCCAGCCTAGATAAGTGATCAGCCACTTGGTTCTCCGTTCCCTTTCGGTCATGGATCTCCAAGTCAAATTCTTGCAGCAGTGGCACCCATCGAATCAGGCGTAACTTTGACTCCTTCTTCTCGATTAAGAATGGTCAGTATAAACAATTACCTTCGAGCCTATTAGGTAGGACCTGAATTTGTCAAATGCGAACACCACTGCTAGCATCTCATTCTCGGTCACTGTGTAATTTAGTTGGGCACCACTCAGAGTTATACTTGCGTAGTATATTGGATGCATGACTTTATCTTTTTGTTGCCCAAGAACTGCTCCCACATCATAGTTACTCGCATCACACATCAGCTCAAATGGTTGCTGCCAATCAGGTGCAATTATGATAGGTGTAGTTACTAGCCTCTTCTTCAATTCCTCAAAAGCTACCCTACAATCATTAGAAAACACAAAAGGGTGATCTTTTTCAAGATATTTACTCAGGGGGTTAGCAATTTTGGAAAAATCTTTTATAAATCTCCTATAGAAACTAGAGTGCTCGAGGAAACTTCTTATTGCTTTGACGGAAATAGGTGGCGGAAGCTTTTCGATCACATCAACCTTAGCACGATCTACCTCAATGCCTTTACTCGACACTAGGTGCCCCAAGACTATACCTTCCTGTACCATGAAATGTCACTTTTCCAAGTTGAGTACCAGATTAGTCTCAATACACTTCTTCAATACTCTTCTCAAGTTCATAAGGCAATCATTGAATGAGTTCCCCACCACTGAGAAGTCATCCATGAAAACCTCCATTATTTCATCTACCATATTTGTGAAGATGACCATCATACACCTTTGGAATGTGGTGGGTGCATTGCATAGGCCAAACTACATTCTCCAGAAGGCATAGATACCATAAGGGTTGGTGAACGACGTTTTCTCTCTATCCTCTGGGGCAATAGAGATCTGATTATACCCCGAGTACCCATCCAGAAAGCAGAAGTGAGACCTCCCTGCCAATCTATCTAGCATCTGATCAATGAATGGCGGTGGAAAATGGTCTTTCCGGGTAGCCATGTTCAACTTTCTGTTCCATACAGATTCGCCAACCTGTGATTGTTTGTGTCGAGATCAACTCGTTCTTCTTATTTTTCACTACCGTCATACTGCCCTTCTTTGGCACACACTAAATGTGAGCATGTGATTTTTGCCCCATGTGAATTACTCCCATAAATTCAAGAAAAATAAATTTTTCCCATTATTTGCAAATTCGTAGATTTTTATTAATTGTTTGCATTTTCTTGCATGTTTAAGTTTTATTTAAATCATGAAAAATACCAAAAATATTACGCATAGCATTTAGGCTTTATTTTTAATCGGTAGTTACTTGTTTTATAAAAATTGAAAATCACAAAAAATGCTTCATTTTTACACTTTTTACTTTTATTGATTTTTTCTCTTTTAATTTAGGATTAAGTAGTTTTATAATTTTTATAATTAGTTAATTAGTTTAATTTCATATTTTTAGATAATCTAGGATTTTAATTTCTAGGATTTTAATTAAAAAAGGAAAAAAAGAAGGAAATAAGGAGTTTATTTAATTGGGTTTAAATTCGGAACTTGGGCCATTTTAAAGCCAAAATCAACCCAAATAAATGGCACCAAAATCTGTTCAACCCAAGCCCAATCTCCCTACCCAAATATCCATTACCCTTTACCCTACCCCTACATATAAAAAGACAATTTAGAAACCAAAAAAGGGGATCCATATACCCTTCCTCAAAAAGAGAGCAACGGCGTATTCCTTTTCATAGAGAAAAAATCAAATAAAAAAGGGAACGGGGGACCTTACCCTTTCAAAATTATTTTTCTGCAATGGACACACATAGGCATAAAGAAGGAGAAAAGGACATCATTTCAAAAAGTGTAAAAAATGACACAAGGGAAGTGGGAAAAAAATAGAAGCGAGAAATTAGATTTCAAAAAGGAAAAGAAAACAAAATCCTCCCCAATTTTGCTACTTGTTTGCTTCAAATTAGAGCCAATCAATGATGCTACTTATTTTGATCTTCAACAAGCGAAGCTACAGTCCAAATTAAGCCAAGTTGATAGAGTTTCGAGGTTCCGGCGAGGTCACCTTTAGATCCGGTCATTGTTCAGTTTGTTCAAGCCAAAATTCCGATTCTGGGTTTGCATCATTAATACAAAGGAAATCACTGATATCCGCTGTTGTTATCTGCTGAAATTTTGGGTTGAGCTTCATTCAATTTGGTCTTGACTTTTAATCATTTCTATTCAAGTTTTCTGGTTCAACCAGTTTCAGATCTGGGTTTGGTTTGGTTTAGCTGATTTTCCTTGCAAATGAGGTACACACATGACGATCTTTGTATTCCTGCTTGTTTTTACATGAATAATTGATTGAAACTACCTCTAAATTTGGTGTGTGAACCCTGTTAAATTCCATTACTGGATTTATGAGTTTAGTAATGTTTTCTGATGCTACGTTTGGTCTCATTTGAGACAATTTAATTAATTTCAACTATGCAAATTCTATGTGCATCATGAAATCAATTTATGGATTGTTGCTTGCTAATTGTATGCATAACTGAAGTTAAAAAGGCCCTTTACCGGTTTAGATACTTTCTCTAGTTTAATTTAGTATAGAAAAGGGTTGTAATTAAAAGAGATGTTTTATTCCAATTTAGTTCATTTCTTTCTGCCATAATTCCGATTCTAGATAACGTGTATTCGAAGCTTTGGTTTAATTTTTGTTTATCTTTGTTCCTTTGTTTTGATGGATGAAAATCATGTGACAAATTCAGTTTGTGAATCATTTGGGACTTCGTTCCCATAGGCTGTTGGGTCCCAAGTTTTAGCCCAATAAGACTTACACGAACTTGAGAATCGAAAGCCAGTTTTCTAATTAGCTGATGTTTCGATTGGGTTGAAGCAACATTTTGAGTAGGTTGATCTCTTTAATAACTAAATTAAGTCATATCACTCCCATTTATTTGCACTGGGTATGAGTTTGGGCTGGTAGTTGATGAATGTTGAGTTGACATACATGGCTCCATTGCTCTCAACTTCAACACGTGATCTCAGATTTAAAAAGACATAGATATGAACATCCGTAATTCGCTTTAGTTGAGGACAATCTTTTGGAATAATTTGAGGCGTGCCATGCTAAATGAAATCCCTAATCCCATGGCCCTTGCTTAATTAATTTTTATCCTTAAAAAATCGGGGCGCGCCATTTAGTTGAATTTTCCATGGCCCTCGCAAAGTTGAAAGTGCATAGTTGCTTTAGGCGCGCTATTTTAAAAATTACCTTTCTAAACTCGGGTGTGCATTTATGTGACCCAAATCCAAGTCCCAACAACGTTAGATGAAATGTGTCGTAAACCGCGGGTGCATTTATGTGACGTGGTTCAAGATGTGTTTTAGATGACGTTGAATCTTTCCTAATAAAACAAATAATTCAATAAAAGCGGCTCAAAAGTTTAAAATTGCACCATAGGTTAAAACATATACTAGATAATAGGCCAATTATAACAGTTGAGCGACCGTGCTAGAACCACAGAACTCGGGAATGTCTAATACCTTCTCCTGGGTTAACAGAATTCCTTACCTGGATTTCTGTGTTCGCGGACTATAATACAGAGTCAATTTTTTCCTCGATTCGGGATTTGAACCGGTGACTTGGGACACCATAAAATTATCCCAAGTGGAAACTTTGAATTTTTAATAAAATGATCCCGTTTCTATTGCCATTTTATATTGGAAAAAACTTCCTTATATACCCCTTTACGGGGGTGTAGGAAAAAGGAGGTGTGACACTGAATTGGCTGACCTAGTTACTGTCAGAGACGGGGAATATGATTCACGTATCTAACCACTTAATCACTTCTTTCTTCACCACTTCTTTCATGCTGGGGTTCAGCCTTCTTTGATATTCTCTAGAAGGTTTGTGCCCATCTTCCCGTAAAATCTTATGCATACCGAAGGCTGGGCTGATACCCTTAATGTCTGCAATAGTCCAACCAATTGTAGTTTTGCACTCCATCAATACCTGCAACATCTATTCTGCCTGCACATCTAACAAACTAGATGAGATAATAACAGGTAAAGTTGAGTTAGGTCCCAAGAAAGCATACCTGAGATGAGGTGATAGGGGTTTCATTTCCAACTTTGTTGGCTCTTCTATCGATGGCTTAGCTGGAAGAGTTTTCCTTTCTTCTAAGTGCAAAGGCTCAAATTCGAGCTCCCTTCTCCAGAAACCCTGGCCTTCAAGAGCAAGTATCCACTCTGCGAAGTCCTCTCCATTTGCTTCATCTAAGTTCATGAGACAGGCTGCTAGAGGGTCTTTAGTATTCAATGCCTCATCTTCCTCCTCCAAAATTATATCCACGGCTTCTATTAGAGAGCAGTTAGCAAATTCACTTGGTCGCCGCATTGATTTATGCACCTTGAATGTTATTTCTTCATCATTTAGTCTCATTTTGAGTTCTCCAGTTTCACAGTCAACTAAAGCTCTCCCAGTGGCCAAGAATGGTCGTCCCAAAATTATGGGAATTTCCTCGTCAACTCGACAATCGAGAATGACAAAATCTACTGGGAACACAAACTTCCCAACCTATACTAATACATTATCAAGGATACCAGAGGGTCTCTTCACTGTCTGGTCAACCAGCTGTAGTAACATGGACATGGGTCTAGCTCTTCCGATGCCAAACCTTTTGTAGATAGCAAGGGGAATCAAGTTTATGCTTGCCCCCAAATCACAAAGTGCCGTAGCAAATGCATAGTTGCCTATTGTGCATGGAATTGTGAAACTCCCTGGGTAAGACAACTTCTCAGCTATGGGTCTCATCACAACAATACTACAAGTTTAAGTCAGTGTAACCGTGGACAAGTCTTGAAAGTCGAACTTACGAGACATCAAGTCCTTCATCATTTTTGCATAACCAGGTATCTCCTTTAAGGTATCAATCAATGGAATATTCACCTGAATTTGCTTCAACATCTCCAAGAATTATACTGCTCATCTTTCTGATACTTGGCCAATCTCTGTGGGAATGGTACTGGAGGTCACTTCTTCCTTGTGATTTAAGCTTTATCTTGCTCAGGCACTACTTCTACTATCGTTTCTTGTGCTACCTCAGTCTCCTTCGCAACCTCTTTTTCTGTGCTGGTGTTCTCTTGTGCATGTTGTATCGTCACCTCAGTTAACCTTGTTAAATAATCTATCTCAATGGGTACTGGCACAAATGTTTCAGTAGGTCGGCTTTCACGAGCAATTTCTTGCTTCAGATCTAGGTCTCTAGCATTTCGTAGACTCACTACCATAAGCTGTTTCGGGCCCTACTCTTTTGGATTGATTTGTATGTCTGCAGGCAATGTCCCTTTATTGCTGATTCATGTGAGTCTACTCTCTCAGTTATTTTTCCAGTGGACCCAATCAGTTGTTGTAGAATTCCCTTAAGTTCAGCAAACCCATTATCTTGTATCACGATCTATTTTTATTGAGGTTGTTAATAAGCCTGCTACTGATTTTGTTGGTTGTAACCCTGTTGCCTTTGGTAGAGGACCACTTGACCCTGTGGTCGCATAGCTCCAGGATTGTTGTTGTTATTGTACTGCTGTTGTACTGGTCTGTATTGTTGATTCTGCTGACCCCAATTTTGACCACCTTGCCTATGTCCGCCATAGTTGGACACATAGTTCATATCTTTCTAATATTGATGATTGTCACCTTCTGCACTCCACAAGCAAACATATGGTTGGTTAATGTATGGCGTACATAAGCCCCAATTAGTTGCGTCAACTATGTGTACATACTGCTTCTGGCCTGATTCATCTATTTTTTTGGTGAGGATACTCATTTGCGTCACTAAAGTGGCCATATTTTCAGTTATGGAGTTGTTTGGGTCCAAACCACTGAATGAACTACAGAAGTGGTTGTAGAGTCTCTTGTCATCCATCCTGAGTTTTGGTCCATCTTATCAAGTAGGATCTTGCTTTCTTTAAATGTTTTGCTAAAAAATGTTCTACCTGCTGAAGCATCAACGTTGGCCTTTAAGCTGCCTGCCAATCCCATGTAAAACCTCTGCCCCAACCTCTACTCCGGAATGCCATGATGTGGACACTTAACCAACATACCATTGAACCTTTCCCACATTTCTTGTAATGTTTCTGTTGGTTTCTTCCTAAAGCTTAATATCTCATCAATTTGTTTAGCAGTCTTATTGGGTGGGTAGAACTTGTTCACAAATTGCTTGACTAATTCCTCCCAAGTAGTGATGTAGTTTATGGGGAGTGAATTAAGCCAAATCTGAACCTCTCCCATCACCAAGAATGGAAACAACAACAACAACTTTATTGCTTCCGGTGTCACATTAGGTTGCCTTTGCGTGACACATATCGACAGGAAATTCTTCCGATGCTGCTGAGGATCTTCAACGCATGACCCTGATAACAGTCCCTTGATCTGCAACAAATGCACCATGTTGTTTGTGAGTTGAAATGATTCTTCTTGTATCTGAGGAACTGTAATTGCGGTTGCTAGGTTGTTGGCAGTGGGTTGTGCCCAATCGTACAATGCTACTTTTGGCACAAGAGGCACCACATCCTGATTGTTCGAGTCATTCCCATTGTTTCTGTTGTTTACCTCATCTCCCATGTCGGTTCGATTTGTTCTGTTGAGTTCTGTTGTTGTTTGCCCTTCTTGTTTGCACGATTCAGTGCCTTGAAAGCTTTCTCAGGATCTGATAATGCTTCGAACAATTCACCAGTTCTTGAGGAGTTTCTAGGCATGCACATGTAATACCCAAGACAATAAATGTTAGAATTTCAATATATTTAGTTTAAGTTGAAGAAATTGACTACACTAAGAATTCTAGCACTTATTTTAGCTGCAATTAATAATACCATTAACTCTCCGGCAATGGTGCCAAAATTTGATCACGCCCAACTATGTCTTATAAAAATGACTAAATGATCGTTGCAAATATATTCCGGTCAATAAGTCCGGAGTCGAATCCCACAGAAAATTACCTATTAAACACAGCTACTAGACTCACACAAATTCACGTGATCAATACTCAGAAATATTTAAGTAGCAAGTTGGATGTTTACTAACTAAATATTACGTAATGAAACTGCAATAAATATTAACTAACTACGAATGGGTTGTAGACAAGAATTGAAATGATCTCAGATTATGATTTTCCCTATTGTCGAAATTTTTTTCGCTACATCTTCTATAAATTTACCTAAGTCTTCTCTACCGATCATGAGCACTCTGACTGTCGTAACTCTCTCCCGAGTAATTACCACAATATACTAGATATATTCTCCTGAATTACATTAGCTGGCCTTAAGTACAACTCACTCAGATCGTAAAAGTTTCGTTATCCCTAATTCAACTTTTAAACCATTCGTATTAATCTCTCATGTACGTTAAGAGTGATGTTGCTCAACAACTGCCTAAATATGTACTCTCTCCCATGTAATACATAATAAATAGGCACAATTAATTGAGGGTCCTTGAATCAACAACAATAATAATATAGTTGAACAAATAGAGAGAATACTACGGCAAACCTATATTAACGTAATAGGAAAATTATCCTCCAATAGGTTCCATCAAAACCCTAGATTAGGAATTTTGCTACTAATAATTGTTTGCATAACTATAATAGAGGAATTCATCATCAATGATAAAAAAGGGAAGAAGAAAGATAAAAACTCGTTTCCAAATCTTCTGTCTTGCTCCTTGCCTGTTCTTGCCTTCAAACTTCTTCTAAAAACCAAGATACCCTCTTTTTGAGGGAGCTAGGCTTCATATAGGTCAAGGAAAATCGCCACTGGAATTATAATTTTAGCCTTGAAATAATTTTTCTCGGAGGGACGTGCGCGATCGCACACCTGGGCAGGTGACCACGCATCTGGCCATGCACTTTGTACAATTTCTACCTGACTTGCGTGGTCAATGCGCGGCCGTGCACCTGGGCCATTTTCTGCACTCTTCTTCATTCTTCTTTTTAAGTGTGCTAACCTCCTTCGATTCTCTAACGAACTCCCAATTTACTCCATAAACTTTTACTTGGCCTTCAATGCTCCATATTAGCTCAAAACGCTCCTTAACCTCCTTGTAGCTCGGAATTTCTCCTGCAAAGCATAAAAACTCAATCAGAGAAATTTATTACCATTTTACGCTTAAACATTAGTAAAATGCAGCCAATTTAGAGTGCAAATAATGGCTAAAATACATAATTACAGCCTACTATAAGTCATTTTCATAGTGTCTTAAGATCTATCCATACTTTAAGGTACCCGGTGGCTTCCAAGTTCCTTCTAAAATTGCCAGCAACCAGAGATTCTACCCACACTTTAAGGTGAACACAATTATAATTTTTATCCAAGTTTTAACTAATGCTAAGATTGCTTGCATTTTAATTCATGAACATAATGTTAGTATTGTATTGGTGCAATTGATGAAACACACATACGTGTTAAAGTTTCACAAAGTGAAGCACCTAAATACCGTGGGAGGAAAGATTATCCAACACAAAATGTATTGGCTGTATGTACCTTTGATTTAAAATTCACATATATTTTAGCTGGGTGGGAAGGGATGGCATCTGATTCAAGAATCATGAAAGAAGCACTAAACAAACAAGACCCACTAAGAATTCCAAAAGTTAAATATTACATAATGTTTATCTAAGTGCATATAGGTTATGTGATGAATAAATAGTTAAGACTTTTATCTTTTTATCTTTAGGAAAATATTACCTTGTCGATGCTGGATTCATGTTGAGAAGTGGACTAATTACGCCATATAGGGGGAGCGATATCACTTGAAAGAGTACTCAAGAAATCTACCTCAAAATTCTCGCGAATTATTTAATCTGCGACATGAATCTTTGTGTAATGCTATTAAACAAGCATTTGGAGTTCTTAAAAAGAGATTTCCTATAATTGCTAGTTCTACAGAGCCATCATATGGTGTTGACACCCAAAAACTTATTATATTTGCATGTTGTATTTAGCATAACTACTTGAAAGGTGTAGATCCAGAAGATTGGTTACTTGCGGAGGTTGATGGTGAGCTTATTAATGATACAAATGTGCCTGAAGAACCTTCAAATACCAAGGAAAGCAATAAGGAATTTAAGAAAGGAGAGTTGATTCGAGATCATATAGCAGCTGACATGTGGCTTGATTACCTAGCTTAATTTTCTAGGAAGTAAAACTCAAATGAATTTTTCGTGACTATTTATTTGATTCCGTGCTAAGTAATTTCTATATGTTATTTTTGAATTATAGACAATATGTATTGCAGTTTTCTTTATTTTATAACTCTTATGAATATTTATGTGTAATTTAATTTTATTGAATCTAAATTTTTTGATTCATCTTAATTATGTAGTTGCCAATATGCTGAAAAGGTCAAACCATCCTCAAGCGATATAAATATTTTAGATATCAATTCTATTTGTATTTGGTAAAATGCATGGACGACGCCTTAATTGATGCATTCTATCATCAACATATACCTAGTAAGAGAGTTGGTGGAACCTTCACTTCACACACACTGGATAATATAGTGAATGAGCTACAATCAAAATTTTCTGATAAAGTTATTAACAAAGAGAGAGTTCACAATCGAATGAGATTAATTAAAAGAAAATTAGAAAGTGCTATGACACGTTTCAAAACAGGATGAGTGGGTTTGCATTGGATTCAAGTACAAATACATGGAATGTTGAATCTGAAGTATATGGGATCAATTAATTCAGGTAAGTTCATATTTATTTGTTTTGTTCTTAGTTTTCAAGTTAAAATGTTTATCCTATTTTCTTTATTAATTAATGTGATGTACTTTTTATATGTAGGCTAATCTTGAGGCTGCTGAATTGAGGAACAAGCCGATTAGAAATTATAATACGCTAATGGTACTATATGGAAAAGATAGGGCTACTGGAAAGCATGCCGAAATTGGATCAGACATGTTGAAAAAAAGTGCTCATAATAATTTGAGAAGAACAAGTACTGCTTCATTGACCATTGATGAGGTAGATGAATCAATTTCTATAAATGCGGCTTCTTTGGAAAACACTAAGAAAGATGGGCAAGATGAGCAAGAGAAAACAACTCCCAAAACGCCTAAGTTGAATGCATATTCAGAGGCACCTATTTCTAATAAGAATAAAAAGCCAAAATAAGACCATCTTGAAGGTATGGCTGATATGTTGAGAGGTGGGATGGATAAATTGGCCAATGCCATAAATCGCCTATCAACTATGCCACCAATTCCAGAGAGTGAGATATGGCATATGGTGAAGGCGATGGATTTGGAACCGCGTTTGGTCCCAAAGGCTTATATATTTCTTTTCCAACATTCAGACGTGTGCCGCACTAACTAGATGTCTATGGGGAGAACGCAAAATTCTTTTGTTGACCATGATGTCGGTTGACAATTAAGTTAAATTTATATTATTATAACTATTAAGGATTTTATGATGAAGTAGAACGCTTCGTTATTAGAAGGTATTATGTTATGCACTCAAGTTTTGGATTATATACAAATGCTTGTTACTAGGAAATATTATTCACGATCTAAATTTTGAATGATGCGTACTTGGTATAGCGTCTACAAGAAACTATGTTCATATAGCGTGGCAAAATTTCTTCGATTGTAATGCTAAGAAAGATATATCTATAAGTAAATATCCTATACGATTTTATAGTCTTGACTACTCAACATTTTTGGCACAAAGTGTGATGAAAAATTTAAATAATCTAGACTACTTCACTAGAATTTGCATGGATTGAATAACTATATATATATATATATATATATCTTATATATACACACATAAGACATAACTGGTGATAAACTAGTCGAAAGCAGTTATCTTAAACTTTTTTTTTTTGCTAGAACGAAGGCTTTTATTAAAACAGAAAGTTAACAGGGTACATTTAGTGGAACTGATTGTAGAGATGCAGTCCCTATTACATCAAAATCTAAGTGCTGGGTAATAAAGTGAGGAGGGTTATAAAAAACTACTACATCTGGGGAAATAGAGCTAGTAGATGTTTTCCCAAAATGTGCTAGAGCATCTGCCACTCTATTGCCTTCCCGCAAGATGTGATTGAGCTTCGCTATTCCAAGTTTATGCATCATCGACCTGCATGCATTAAGGAGAGATGAGTATTTTAAGTTCCTGATAGCAAAGATATTTGTTAATACATGTGAATCAGTTTCCACCAGTAATGGACTAAAGTTGCATGTTGTGGCTATCGCAAGACCATGGTAAAGCGCCAATATCTCGACCTGTAGGGCGTTGGTAACAGGGATGTGCAATGTATACCCACAGATCTAATTGCATGTTGCATTACGGAAAACTCCCCCAATGCCTCCTTCATGAGTAGTTGGATCAGAGGAGCCATCAATGTTAAGTTTGATGAACCCTATTGGTGGTTTCTCCCAGCTTACTGGGATTAAGATGCATCGTGGAATGGATTTAGTGTTGTTGGTAAGGAAATAGATTTGAGTGGCCTGTGCAATGATGTTAGTGGGACTAACAACAATTTTAGTGTGTTCAAATGTATTGCGATTTCTAGTTAGCCAAATATTCCATAATATTACGGGAGTGAGAATCTTAAAAGGCACAATTATTTGGCGATTAATATGGATGTGTTTATTAGAATGGCAAATTGTTTTTAGCTAGTTGATATAGTTGCTTGGTGGCAATTGGATATTACAATGTGCCCATATGAGATTTGTCGATGTACACTGGAGGAATATGTGGGGGAGGTCTTCCTAGCTATAGTGGCAGATATTACAATTTGTTGTAGGGGCAATTTTTCTGGCATAGGGGAAAGAAGTGGTTGGTAGGCGTTGGTGTAGGAGGAGCCATAAAAAATATTTGAGTTTATTTGTAGTGGGTAGTGACCATTGCCATTTGTGGGGAAAGTTGTTGATGTGTATGTGTGCTATGTTTGTGATTTGTTGGTAGGCTGACGAGGCTGTAAATTCGCTTGGTGTAGGGTGCCAATAAGGTGTATCAATGGCATCTGGCATTCGATCAAGAGCGATGTGGTTAATGCGAAGCGTTAACTGAGGAGGTAGTTCAAAAGAAAGGGTGGTAAAGTTCCACTTATTGTTGTCGATAATGGTAGCGAGGGAGCTATTGAGTTTGCTTTTAGGTATTGGGCCGTGGATGAGTTGTCGGAGGGAGGAATTGGGAGGAATTGGGAGGAATACAATAATCATTCCATAAATGAATGGATCTGCCCGAAGCGATATTCCAACCTGTGCCACAATGGCAAATATGAGATGTGTGAGCCATACTTTTCCAGTTGTAGGATGAGTTTGTGGTTATAGGTAATGAATAATAATAGGGTGATAGGTGTGTAACAGAGCGACCATATTTAGCTCTTAGCACTTTCGCCCAAAGCGAGTCAGGTGTATGATGAAATCGCCAATTAAGGCTGGTAAGCATGGATATGTTCTTTGGACGGAGTTTTGGGATACCCAGACCACCCATATGTTTTGGGGTTGTAACTATGTCCCAACTGAGTAAGTGTAGTTTTTGTTTTTGAGATATGGATCCCCAAAAAAAATTTCGTTGAAGACTATTGATATGTGTCAGTGTTTTTTGGGGAAGGAGATTATTTTGCATTGCATAGGTTGGAATAGAGTTAAGGACAGATTTGATCAAGGTTGTTCGACCTGCTAATGATAAGTATTTGGAGCGCCAACTTGCTAATTTAGCTTAAACGCGATCTAATAAGTATTGTTAGTCTGCGGATTTAGGTTTGACTATTGTTATGGGTAATCCTAAGTATTTTCCAAATGTCGATGTTTGTGGGATATTAAGGAGTTGGGATAGGGATTGACGGGTTATGTTGGAGACATTTTGTGAGAAATAGACCTTAGATTTATTGAGGTTGATTTTTTGGCCTGAGTGGGAACTTAGAAGATTAAAAATTTGGATTATGGATGAAGCATTTTTTCAATGGCCTTAGCGAGTAGGATGATATTGTCAGCAAAAGAAGATAAGATAGTTGCGGGGCAGTTCGGGCAATGGATATTGGTTCCCATTGGCAGATGTCAACTTTGTGTTCTATTAGTCGTCATAGTGATTCCATGCAAATTATAAAGATATAGGGTGATAAAGGATCGCCTTGCCGTATGCCTCTCGATGGTTGAAAGAAAGGTATGGGTTTTCCATTGACAAGGATGGAAATGGAGGAGGACGTGACGTAAGACATAATTAATTTTATAAGTTGTGGTGGAAAGTTGAGTTGTTGTAGGGAGATGTGAATGAAGGACCATTCTAAACGGTCAAAGGCTTTTTCAAGGTCGATTTTCAACATCATGTTGCCAGCTTTACCTTTTTTGTTTTTTAAAAGAATAGATAACTTCTTGGACTAGGATTGCATTATCAACTGCATGACGTCCATGTACAAAGCTACTTTGGGTGGGGTTAATAATAATTGGAAGAAAGGGTTTTATCCGAGCAACAATGATTTTTGTGATTATTTTGTAAATAGTATTACACAAGCTAATAGGACGATATTGAGTAATATGTTCAAGATGCTGGACTTTAAGGATGAGGGTGACGAATGTGGTCTTTATTTATGGTGGTACAGTTGAGGTTGTAAAAATGGACATGCACATTTTTGTGACTACTTCTTTGGTGGCATTCCAAAACTTTTGGAAGAAAGGGGGTGTAAACCATCAGGTCCTGGTGCCTTTAAAGGTTTGAAGGAGTGGACAGCATTATAAATTTTTGCTGTCGTAATAGGGGCTGTTAGAGTTGTGCCATCCTCTTGTGTGAGTGCAGTATCATAAGTAGTGGATTGTAGTTGAGTGCGACTCTGCATTTGAGTAGTATAGAGTGTTTGAAAGTGAGTAACAACTAGGTCGTGGATGTTAGTTGGGTCAATTGTCCAATTTCTTACGGTGTCTTGGAGTCCTAAAATGCGATTTCCCCATCTACGTTTTATGGTTGATAAATGGAAGAAGTGGGTGTTCGCATCCCGATCATTTAGCCATTGTAGCTGAGATTTAAGCTTCCAATAATCTTCTTCGTATTTTAGTAGGGTGATAAAGTCAGTAATGAGGCAATTTTCTAATAAGTTGTAGTGAAAAGAGTTTTTGTCTTGGGGATCCATATTTTGTAAACCTTTTAGTCTGGCAATAATAATCTTTTTTTTTGTAGAATATATTACCAAAGGTTTGAATGGTCCATGTTGTTGCTAGATTTGTGAATTGATCAAGGTTATGGAAATATTGTGGTTTATTTAACCAAGTAGAGTTAACAATATTGAGAAAATCTGGGTGTTGTAACCACATTGTTTCCAATCTAAAAGTGGGTGTAGGTTTAGAAAAAGGTTTGGTGAGATTAAGAAGGATTGGGCAATGGTCAGAGTGAGTGTGAGGGAGATGTTGGACTGTAGAATCTTCAAACAAATGGATCCATTTATCATTTGCAAGGAATTTATCAAGACATTCCATTATTAAAAATTTTGAGCTATTAATATTGTTATGTAGTTTAGGTTTATTTATCCAAGTGAATCTCGAACCAGCGAAACCTAAATCTATCATACCAAGTGAGTTTAAACAGTTGTTAAAAGTATTTGAGCGCCTAATATTGATATGATTCCCACCAAATTTTTCAGCGGAGGAAGAAACTTCATTAAAATCTCCACATAGTAACCATGCAAAGTGGTGGTGTTGGTTGAATTCTTTTAGATTATTCCACAAAATTTTTCTGTTGCTATAATTTGTACTAGTGTAGACGACAGAAATTAACCAAGGGTTTGATCTAGGGCATACCTGAACTGCTGCATGGATTTCCTGACTTGTGACGGTGACCGGATTGACCGTTAATTCATTGGAATGCCATAGTAGCACGATGCCACCCGTTGAACCTTGAGTGGCCACTTGGATGAGGTCACTGAAGTTGTAATCCTGAAGTAGTGCAGTGTGATCAGCCATCTTTATTTCAGTTAAACATAAAATAGAGGGAATGTTCCAATATAGAAGAAATTGCAAGTTGCGATGAAATTCTTAATTATTGGCGCCTCGGCAGTTCTATAACATGATCTTCATTAAATTATCAATGAGCAGTGGGCTCCTTCCTGGAGCTAGTGATAATTCCAAGTGGATCCGAAGATGGGGTAGATTGTATAACTCCGTTGGAAGTAAGGTATCGTTGAGATTCGGAACCATAAGTATGACATATTTCTCTTTCATGGAGAAAGGGTAGTGATGAATATTGAGAGATGTCTTCCTGAGTGCATTGGGAATGAATATCAGGAACTTTTTTTTATATATATATTTTATGGCATGGAAATCTTCAGGGAGTCGTTAAACATCAGTGATTCCATGAATATCTCCAGGATGTCTGCTTCTTCGTCGTCCTCCATAGTTGGTGGTTGTTCCTCCTATAGTGGGGAGTGCAAGGGCGAGGCAGGCAGATTGAGCTCTAGTTCCTCGTTGAGTTGAGGTGTGGGAGTAAGAGGACCCTCCACCTGTTGAGGTTGTGGGTCTGCATACCATGGTCAATAATTGGTTTGTTGGGATAATCCCCAAGTGGGAAGCGGGTGCTGCAAAT